GCCTGCGTACGTGTGAGCACGAGTGTGAGCACCCGTGTGTGCGTGTGCACGTGTGCGGACACCTGTGTGAGTGCAAGTGTGCGTGCGTGTGCGGCCCGGCGCTCACATTTCCAGCAGCACACGTAACACAACTGGAACGACACAGAGATGACCCACAGATCCGCACAGGGTCGTGTTTGCCAGGTTTTAGGTCTGCTATGTTTTACCATAATTTAAGAAACTATTTAAAGTGTCCAATCCAGGGGCTTTTAGTCCCTTTGCAAGTTGTCAACCATCCCCACCATCTAATGCCAGAACGCCTTCACTGCCCCCAAAGCAAGCTGGCAGCCGTCTGGCACGCCCCGTTTCCCGGGCCCCTGGCGCCCACTGGCTTACGTTCTGCCTGGACGGATGTGCCCTTCTGGGGCCCTTCCTATCAATGGGCTACGGTGTGTGGCCTTCGGCTCCCGTCACTGCATCGCCCAGGCCGCGGCACGGGTGGGTGCCTCATTGCTTTTTAAGGCTGAGGGATCTTCCACGGTGTGCAAGGACTGCCTTGTGTTTCCCTGTTCCTTGATCAACGACACTGGGCTGATTCACCATCCACCTGTCACTCGACATGCTTTTCATATTGGAGACCAGCCGTGCCAAGGGACTGACCTTGGGGAAGCCAGACATAGACCCAGGCCTGGAGGGGCAGTTTGGGGCCGGGATGCCCTGGAGGGAGGGAGGGAGGGGACGCTCCGCCAGACAGGCCGTGCCCTCCCTCCAGCTCCGCTCACCCCGTCCCATCAGGGTCCCCGGGGCCGGCGTTTCTGCCAGGGTTCCCAGCACCGGCTTCTGGGAGTCTCTCACCATTATTCAGAGGGTGTGAAGCAGGCTGCGGTTCCCGGGCTGTGTGTCCGGAAGACCACCGTGAGGGGCCCTGTGCCCACCGGCCCTGTGGACCCCTGGGTTGGCCCCTCACCTCCCGCCCGCTCTGCCCGCAGCCTGCAAGAGCCACAGCCAGGAAGCACGGGACTACCTGGATGAGCTCAAGCTGGCCGTGGCCTGGGACCGCGTGGACATCGCCAGGAGCGAGATCTTCAACGGGGACGTGGAGTGGAAGGTGCCCGCCCGCCGGCCAGCTGATTCCTCCTGAGCCGCATTTCTGGCCGACACAGGGCGACACAGGGCGGGGGCCGTGTCAAGGGTCTGGGGGCAGACGGTGTTCCCAGGGCCACTGACGGGCCCCTTCCTGCCCACTGTGGCCCACGGGGGCGGGAGGCCAGGGCATCTGCTGGGGGCTCCTCGCACACGGCCCCCAGGGAGGACTGGTGGCCCCTGGTGGCCCAGAGCCGGCTCAGAGGGACAGGAGCTGGGGGGCTCCCCGTGCCCCAGCTCCCACTCACTCTGCCCGTCTCCCCCACCTGGGCGTGTCCTGTGGCGGCCCCAGTCCTGTGACCTGGAGGAGGTGATGATGGACGCGCTGGTGAGTGACAAGCCCGAGTTTGTGCGACTCTTTGTGGACAACGGCGCTGACGTGGGGGACTTCCTGACGTACGGGCGGCTTCAGCAGCTCTACCGTTCCGCGCCCCCCAAGAGCCTGCTCTTCGACCTGCTGCAGCGCAAGCACGAGGAGGGCCGGCTGACACTGGCCGGCCTGGGCGCCCAGCAGGCCCGCGAGCCGCCCGTGGGCCTGCCCGCCTTCTCCCTGCACGAGGTCTCCCGCCTGCTCAAGGACTTCCTGCACGACGCCTGTCGCGGGCTCTACCAGGAGGTGAGCGGGCCGGCGGCCGGGAGGGGCTGGGCCGGGCCGCCAGGAGGCTGACGGTCCTGTCCTCCAGGAACGGGGACCGGCCAGGCGGCCCGAGGGCCGGAAGTGGCTGCTGGATCTGAACCGAAAGAGCGAGAACCCCTGGAGGGACCTGTTCCTCTGGGCCGTGCTGCAAAACCGACAGGACATGGCCACCTACTTCTGGGCCATGGTGGGTTGGCCTCGGGCTCCTGGGGCGGGAGGGCGGGGAGGGGCGGGGCAGGCCGCCTCCTCTCACCCTGCCTCCTAGGGCCAGGAGGGGGTGGCCGCCGCTCTGGCCGCCTGCAAGATCCTCAGAGAGATGTCGCGCCTGGAGACCGGGGCGGGGGTGCACTGCACCGTGAGCGAGGCCAAGTACGAGCAGCTGGCCCTGGGTGAGCCACCGGCCTGGTGCCCAGCCGCCGCACGCAGCGGGGGCCTGGGGTCCACTCAGAGGCTCCTCCTAGTGGGGAGGCGGACCCTAACATTCTAACAGAGGGACAGAGGGGTCCTCGGCGGTGGCCCTGGGCACACACTGGGTCCTGCTGGGGGTCGGTCGGGGCACGTGGGGTGACGATGGGGGCAGGGAAGGGCAGGGCAGGCGGGGACGGCCAGTGTCCATGCGGGAAGCTGGGCACGGCTCGGGCACAGGAGGGAGGAGGCCGGGGGCCGTGGCCCTGTGGGTACCAGCGGCCGGTGTCCCCGGGCAGGTCTCTTCTCCGAGTGCTACAGCAACAGCGAGGACCGTGCGTTCGCCCTGCTGGTGCGCAGGAACCGCTGCTGGAGCAGGACCACCTGTCTGCACCTGGCCACCGAGGCCGACACCAAGGCCTTCTTTGCCCACGATGGGGTGCAGGTGAGCGTCTGGCTTCAGGGAGGGCCGGCCTCCCCCGCCTCCGCTCTTCAAGTCCTGGTCACGCAGGGCAGGGGGCGCAGGAGGGGAGCTCTGCTCCTGGAAGGCACCTGCCTGGCTTCCTTCTCGCTGCCCCTGGCCAGACCTTTGTCTGCCTCGGATCTCAGCAGAGGTGCCGCCTCCTCCACTCGGCCCTCCCGCACCCCCAAACCCGGCCTCCCTCCCCGCCGTGGAGGGTCTTCCCCACCGGGATGCAGGGCGAGGCTTTGGCTAAGCCTGGGAGGGCGCGCCTGGTGCTGGGCACAGCGTGAGCAAAGGTGTGGGGGTGGGAGGCCAGCGGCGGTGCCTTTATTTCAGGCCTTCCTGACCAAGATCTGGTGGGGGGACATGGCATCGGGCACGCCCATCCTGCGGCTGCTGTGTGCCTTCCTCTGCCCGGCCCTCATCTACACCAACCTCATCACCTTCAGGTGTGTTGGGCGCAGGCAGCTGCCATTTGCCAGCCGCGGGCGGTGGGAGGGGGCGGGCCTGGGCTTTGCGGGTGCTGCTGGGGGTGCGTCTCCGGCATCCGTGTGCGCCCCGCTGTGCGCTGACCTTCTCAGTGCACTCAGCACTTCCTTTGCTGGCTGGTACCCTCCCCGTGGGCCCTGAGGGTCCCCTGTGCTTGCAGCGAGGAGGTCCCGCTGAGGACGGGCCCCGAGGGCCTGCAGGAGCTGGACAGCCTGGACACGGAGAAGAGCCTGCTCTGCAGCCCGGGCAGCGGGTGAGGGCCATGGGGCGGGCTGGCCAGGGGGTGGCACTCGCGCCTTGGCGTACGGGCCGCCCGCCTCACCGCCGGCTGTGGTCTCCTTGTGCTGCAGGCTGGAGGAGTTGGCTGAGGCACCAAGGGCTCAGGGCGACCGAGGGCCGCGTGCTGCCTTCCTGCTCACACGCTGGCGCATGTTCTGGGGCGCGCCCGTGACCGTGTTCCTGGGGAACGTGGTCATGTACTTTGCCTTCCTCTTCCTGTTCACCTACGTCCTGCTGGTGGACTTCAGGCCACCTCCTCAGGGGCCATCTGGGCCTGAGGTCACCCTCTACTTCTGGGTCTTTACACTGGTGCTGGAAGAGATCCGGCAGGTCAGTGGTGGGCCGAGCCCACTGAGCCCTGATCCCGGCTCCAGGCTGAGGCCTGATCCCCGTCGACCCCAGCCTGGGCTGGGCAGGGCTGTCTCCAGTGAGCTGTCAGCAGACTGTCTGCCCCTCTGCCAGGGATTCTTCACAGACGAGGACACACATCTGGTGAAGAAGTTCACACTCTACGTGGAAGATAACTGGAACAAGTGTGACATGGTGGCCATCTTCCTGTTCATTGTCGGTGTCACCTGCAGGTCTGTGGGGCCCAGAGGCCTGACGGGGGCCAGCTCGGTTGGGCCGGTGGGCAGGGCCACCTGCAGGATGAAGCCACGAAAGGCCTCAGAGATCCCGGCTTGTCTCTGGCGCCCGCACTGTGTGTCCTGGAGGACGCTCCTTCCCCTCTCTGGGCACTAGCAGCCCATCCAACCACCACCCTCCCCCAGGATGGTGCCCTCCATGTTTGAGGCGGGCCGCACAGTCCTTGCCGTTGACTTCATGGTGTTCACGCTCCGACTCATCCACATCTTCGCCATCCACAAGCAGCTGGGCCCCAAGATCATCATCGTGGAGCGCATGGTGAGCCGCCGGCTGCGCCTGAGCCCACTTGGCTCCCGTGGTGGGTGAGAGAGCGTCCCCCAGCCGGGCGACTGCTAACACTCTGCTTCCCCCCGGAGATGAAGGACGTCTTTTTCTTCCTCTTCTTCCTGAGCGTGTGGCTTGTGGCCTATGGCGTGACCACGCAGGCGCTGCTGCACCCCCACGACGGGCGCCTGGAGTGGGTCTTCCGCCGCGTGCTCTACCGGCCCTACCTGCAGATCTTCGGGCAAATCCCCCTGGACGAGATCGATGGTTAGCACGTGGCCGGGGGTGGGGGGGTGGCGCGCCTTTGAGCTGGCTGGAAGGACCCCACACTTTGCGGTGCAGCCAGATGGGGTCCGGTTTACAGCCTCCTTTTAAAACACAATGGACATGGGGCCCTTGAGGGCTCTTCTGGGGTCACATGAGGCCCCAGCCGGGAGCTAGCTGAGATGGGGAAGTCCCTGAGGCTGGCCCCCAGGCCCCACAGCCCAGGGACAGCTCCGGGCTCATTTCTATTGACCACAGGGACCCGAGACTTGGGGCACCAGGCTAGGAACTGAGGCGCGAGGAGGCTGCAAAGCAGACAGGGGCCATCCCAGTCCATCCCTCACCATCACGGGGCCGATCCACGCACTGGTGCTTCTGCCCTCCTGGGCGGCCCTGTTGCCCAGCGGGCCTCCCTGTCCCCCACCCCTCTGCCAGAGGCTCCGCACCGGGCCCTGGGCCCGCCTGCTGGCAAGGCCCCTCTACCGAGAGGCCGTTCCTGACAGCGCCCTTGCTGCTTCCGGGGACACACCCCAGTGTGTGTGCCTTACCCACTGCCAAGTGTGCGCGCCTATCAGAGGGTGTAGGTGTCTCCAGCTGGCCCTTGTGCGGGCTGAGGGCCAGTGGGGGCTCCAAGAATTTCCCAGGCAGGCGGTACAGTCGGGAGGCGGAGCTGCTCCTCCGTCAGGGGCTGGGTGGTGACAGGTGCAGGGGAGCCCTGACGTGGGGGCCAGAGACACCTCTACAGGCCCTGGAGATGGCTAGGATTCGGTGAGGAGGAGGAGGAGGGGGAACCGGATCCTCAAGGAAGGTGAGCCAGCACCAGAGGCCCACGTGAGGACTCAGGGAGGGGCGTCTGCTCCGGCTGGCGCAGGACCGGGGCCACCCGGGGCCCCAGGGCAGTCACGGGCGCACTGCGTCTAAGGCCTGACCCGACCACCTTAGCTAGTGAGGCGGGGTCAGCATGCCCGCCACCCGTGGGATGGATTTGTCAATGGGGTGAGAGTAGGAGTGACGCAGACACGGGCCGCCAGGATGGGGAGGGGCGCCACCGCCAGGGCAATCAGCTAACTGGGGTGTTCTGTAGGCCCATTCCCTTGGTCTGTTTGTGCGGGCTGCCCCCTGTGACTCTTCGGTGTTTGCTCTTCCGCAGTGTTCCAGGCCCTTAGTTTCAGCCTCCCTCCCCGTATGGCCCCTGGCCGCCCTGTCCTGCGGGGGCCCTTGGGAGGCGGGGAGCGCTGGGTCCCTCGGACGGCCACATCTTGGGCCCCAGCCACACGCTGCTATGGGGGACAGTGGTGTGTGGTGGGGTCACGGCCCCTGTTCCCCAGGAGCCCGGGGCTACCCAGGGAGGGCAGAGGGAGTGCAGGCCTCCCCCCCAGCCCCTGGGCTGCCTCAGGCAGCCAGAGTGCTGTAGCAACAAGCCCCTGACTAGGGCCAGGCCTGGGCCGGCTCCCTGAGGGTCCCGGGCAGGCCCCTTCCCCTCTTGGGGCTGGGCTTCCTGTCTGCTCAGGCCTCGGTAACCCCACCACGGGGCGGCAGGGCTAGGCTGAGTCACTCACATGCAGCCGGTGGGCCTGGGGCCCAGAGTGCCACCCTGCCCGCCCCGTCCCTGCACGCCAGGCGGGAAGCCCCGGGGCTGACTTCAGTCTGGCTTCAGCCCCAGGGACAATTTAATTTCCAGCCTGGCCTGGTGGCACCTCTGGGGGTCACGGGGGTCTCACTGCTTCGGCGCGTGGGCGCTGGGGGAGGGAGGAGGGTCGTTGCCCTTCAGCGTGCTCAGCAGCTCCCCGTGGGTGGCCCAGCACGAAAACTCCCTCAGGGGAAAGTAGGAGAGGCTCCCTCCCGGGGGGCGGGGGGAGACACGGACACAGGAAGACAGGCCCTGTGAGCCCGACATGTGTGCACAGCATGGGGACACGCAGACAGAGACCGAGGCCTCACAGCACAGATGCCCAGAGAGGCAGCCGTGGGAACGGTCCAGCATGCAGGCGTGGGCAGCGTCCACGCGGGCGCGCGCACATATGCAGCCACGGGCCCCCTCCTGAGGAAGATGCGGCAAGCACCCCGGGTGCCCATGGCCTGTGCGCTCACGCTCTGCTCCTTCCTCCCACGCCTCCTGTCCCGTGAGTGTGGGGGTGCTGGCTGGTGAGGGCCCAGAGCTGTGATCCCCGGGCCCCCCAGGGCACGCCCGCCCAGGGTGCAGAGCTCAGCCTGCTGCCAGATCGCACACTCATTCCCACTGGCCGGAGAATGTTCTGTGAGCTGGCCCAGAGGTGCTCTGTGTCCACACTGCCTGTGGCAATCAGGGTCAAGGGCGGTGTGGCCAGATGAGCTTTGGAGATGGTGCAGACTTGCCCCCCGCCCCCGGCTGGGTGCCACGTGACAGGCTTTAGTGTTATAAAGGCCCTGACAAGTCCTGCAGGGGGAGACAGGGTCACCCCTCGCCTCGGCCAGCTCTCTCCACACCAGCTTCGAGCACAGCCCTTGGTGGTGGTGGTGGGGAATGCACACACCTACCGGCAGAAACTGGGGTCCTCTGTGCCCCATCCCCCAGATGGCCTTGGCTCTGGTGACTGCAGTCAGGAGGAGGTGGGGGAGTGGGACCAGTGCCCCTGGCTGACTGTCTCCCTGGTTTGCCAGGACCTGGGGTGTCCTAACACAGGAACTTTCAGTGCTAAGCCCGATAATCCCCAGCCAACCAGGGTAGTTGGGCCACCCGGCCAGTGCCCTCCACCCCTGGGTGGCCTCACCCCGAGGAAACTCTCAAGATCGGAGGGTGTCATGGGGAGGCGGCCCCCACCATGCCACTTGTGTTTCAGAAGCCCACGTGAACTGCTCCCTGCACCCCCTGCTGCAGGAGGACTCCCCCTCCTGCCCGAACCTCTATGCCAACTGGCTGGTCATCCTCCTGCTAGTCACCTTCCTGCTGGTCACCAACGTGCTACTCATGAACCTGCTGATCGCCATGTTCAGGTGGTCCGCTCCCTGTGCTCCCTCCATGTGTGGGGGGCCCCAGGGACCCCAGTGCCCAGCCCTCTAGGCCTCGGGCTGCGGGGACCTCTCTGCACCCCCGCCCCCGGAGGGACTGGAGCCTGGACCACAGGCTGAGGGAGGGCAGGGCCCCGAGGAGGCAGTGGGGCGAATGACAGGCATGGGGAAGGGTGGCTCCCAAGGCAGGTTTGTACCAGGGAAGCCTGGGCTTGTCTAGGAGAGCAGAGGGGATGGTGAAGACCCCACGTGAGCGAACCCTGTTCTAGACAAACCCCGCGGAGGGCAATGAGGGAGTGGAGACAATCACAGAACTGGGGGGGCCTCTGGGAATGGTGTGGGGCCGCAGCAGGGACCAGGACGGAGGACCCGGGAGGCCCATGTGTGTTCCACCGCCCACACGCGGGCCCCACAGCTATACGTTCCAGGTGGTGCAGGGCAATGCCGACATGTTCTGGAAGTTCCAGCGCTATCACCTCATCGTGGAGTACCACGAGCGCCCTGCCCTGGCGCCGCCCTTCATCCTCCTCAGCCACCTGAGCCTGGTGCTCAAGAGGTTCTTCCAGAAGGCGGCCGGGCAGAAGCGGAAGCACCTGGGTGAGGCCACAGGGCTGGATACAGCCTGCGGCCCTGGACCGCATGCAAGGGGACGGGCGACGTGCCGGGTGGGCAGGCGCGTGGAGGCGTGGGTCCCCTCCTCAGCCCCCCGCCAGCATAGGCTGAGCCCATCGCCTTCCTCCCCCTCACACCGCGGGCCCGTCTGCAGCGATCCGGAGGGTGGGGGGCTTGCCCTGGGCTCCCCTGGCCCCGAGGCCCACCTGGCTCCAGCCAAGCCTGTGGCCGCCCTGGCCTTCCCAGAGAGAGACTTGCCGGAGCCCCTGGACCAGAAGATGGTCACCTGGGAGGCAGTTCAGAAGGAGAACTACCTGAGTAAGCTGGAGAAGCAGAAGAAGGACAGCGAGGAGGAGGTGCTGCGGAAAACCGCCCACAGGTGCGTGGGGGCTGCACGGGTGGGCTGTCCCCCGCGGGCCACCAAGAGGGGCTGGCAGAGCTGGCGAAGGGCCTGCCAAGGGACGGCCGGATGCCTAGCGGGGTGCCAGAGGTTGTAAGATCCCCTGGGACCTCTGCCCCCATCACCACCGAGCGGCTGGCGGCCTTAAAGCTGGTGTGGCCGCCGCCTGCGGGGCGCAGTTCTGAGCTGGGGAGGCTGAAGCTGAGAGGGGCAGAGGGGCTGATATAGGTGGGGTCCTCCTTGCTCTGGGTCCCCCCGATATGGTCCATCCCAGCAGTCCCTTCAGGCCTCCTGCCTGCCCTTGTCGCCCACTCTCGCTGGCAGTCACTCAGCCCCATCGGAGCTCCCAGGGAGGGCAGAAGGGCTCTGCACCCAGATCTGGGGACCATGGGGAGATCGCCCAAATGCGGAGCACCCTGTGCCCACCAGCTTCTGCTGCAGGGTGGAGTCTGTAGCCCAGTACCTCGGGGGGCTGAGAGAGCAAGAAAAGCGCATCAAGCGTTTGGAGTCACAGGTAGGCAGGCAGACCACGCGCTCTTCTGACCGGGGCCTTCACCCACAGCCCTGCACCCCAACATCCAAACTACCGGGCCCGCACCCAGGCTTCGGCTCAGCAGGCAGGGCGAGGCCCTGGGGGGTGCAGTACCTGTACCTGTCCCCATATGTGACTTCAGGGACAGCATGCCCTCCCTGGAGGGGGTCCTACCCTTCGGACCCCCTCACCTGTCCATTCTCCACACCTAGAACCTCGCCCTCACGCCCGTTCCCTCCAGCACAGCTACCGGAGGGGAGGGTCATGGGGTAGCAGGGCCCTGGGGCCCCCCTGGATGCCTCTCCCTCCTCCTTCAGATCAACTACTGCGCGGTGCTCCTGTCCTCCATGCCCCCGCCGTCCTCCATGCCCCCGCCATCCTCTGGGGCTCGGAACGGCGCCTACTGCAGTAAGTGTGCATCCGGGGAAGACACAGCTGAGGAAGGGGCACAGGCTGGCCCAGGGACAGGCGGAGGACTGTCACGCTGTGCCCTGTCATCTGCCTTCCCGTCCTGGGAGAGGACTGGCCCAGGCCTCGATGGCCCACAGCTGGTGACATCTTAGGGGTGGGGCAGGTGCCCTCTGCTGGAGCCCCCCACCTCAGCCGGCACGAGGGCGTGGCCACTCGGACTCTGGAGGCTCCCCACCTCCTCCCGGCTGGGGCCACCGTGTCCTGTGCTCGTGTGTGCGAGCCACCTCTCCCTTGCCTGGGCTGGCCCCACCGGACACCCAGCAGCTGAGGGGTCTTCCTTCCTCAGCAGACTCCCAGACCTTCAAAGGTGGACACCAGCAAGCCTCTGCTGGCCTCCGAGGGGATGCAGGCAGCAGCGAGCACCCAGACGCTGGCCGGCGGCTCTCAGACACCTGAACCACTTGGACGGTCCGCACACGGGGCCCACCTCTCCCAGCGCTCCGATCATGATGGGCAGGCAGGGACACGGCTCTTAGCCAGCCATCCCAGGCCCTACAGACACACCGAATGTCCCCCACCTCTTGTGGGGCCCTCATGGGACGTGGCTCTAGTGCCCTCATCAGAAGAAACCACCCCTCGCCCTGCCCGGCACCTTCCCTGGGACCTCTCTCCACGCAGAAGCACGGCGCACGGTGGGCCCTCTCCAGACTGGGGGAGCCCCTGGGTCCCATCCACAACTGCCCGGCCTAGGCCAAAGCACCTCCTGTCTGGTGGTCAACAGTTTGGGGCCCATACCTGTCTCCTACCCAATCTGTGTCACCTGTTAAAACTCATTTTTTGGAAACACTAGCGGCTAGAACTTCTGCCCTTTAGGACCTGGAGCCGGGTGTTGACTGTGCATGTCGGCTCCCAGCCCTGCACACCCTCACCGGCTCACATGGCAAGTGCCGGACTAGGTCTAGACTGGGTCATAGCCCCAGGACACTGCCCCAAGAGGACTCACCTCTGGCCCCACGGCTGCTTTCTCCTAAGAGAACACACCCACACCAAGTCAGTAAAGGCCACAGGGCAGTGGGCAGGTTTACCTGCCTGTGAGAGGGGGTTCCAGGCTCCTGTGCTGGCCCTACCTAGGGCGAGTGGCTAGCCACGTTGGTCCCCCTTTCCCTCAGGGGCCTGGGGCTGGGCCAGCATGCTGGCCAGTCTCTGCTATGTCCTCCACCAGGCACAGGGGGGACATGCTTGTCCCGGTCTGCCTTCCCTGGCACCATCAGGGGCCAGTGCTCCTTCCCCCACCGCTGGGCCCGGGCACACCAGCAGGGTCCCTGCACACAGCTCAGCTGTTCTGGCGATGTGGTCCCAGGACACTGGTCATCATCACACACAGCCCAGGCAAGCCAGAGCTAAGGGGCAAGAGTGGCCAGGGCTGGGGAGGGCCCCTGCCCCCACTCACATGCTGGCCTCCTAGAGACCCATTTCATCAAGATTCCTTGTCCCCAGCCCTGTTGGGGGCAGAGGCTGGACAGCCGGGATTATGAGCTCACCCCTAGAGGTGCCCGGGGCCTTCTGCACCTCTTGCTCTGGACCCAGGAGGGGCTGCTTCAGTCCCTCTGGGAAGACGGGCTGCTGATAAACCCAGGCGTTGATTTAAAAAGCCTCCATGCCCCCTGGCACTAAGGTGGGGAGGATCGAATGAGAGAACAGGGCGCGTGGGTGTGCCAGGTGGCAGACGAGGCCCCAGCACACTGGTCCTGAGGAGATGGATCTACACAGAGACACAAAGCCAAAGGAATACCCCAAACCTTTACTGTTGCCCCAGGGGCACATGGTGGGCAGGGTTTTTGCCATCCACTGGCAAGGAGTCTGCTTCAGAGACCGCTACCCTGAGCCCCAGCCCAGGCTGCCGGCACCTCCTACTGGCAGCCCGCTGGCTCCCTTCCCGAGGGGCTGAGGCCCCGAGCTGCGCGCCACCCCACGTGCCCAGTGGCCCTGGCTGCCCTCCTCCGCCAGCCTGGTCAGTCTCTTCTCTTAGATCTCGGCACCTGGGGCCTCGTGGCTGCTGTTCCTGTTCCGGAAATGGTCTCTGTTCCGTTTCCTGCTGCCATGGAAGCCAACAGTCTCCACCACCGGGGGCCTGGCTGCTGACCCAGTGTGGGCAGCGGCCTGCAGCACACCCACTTCCTGAAGGCCCCCGAGGGGGCTGCTCCACTCCTCAGCCTCCGGGCTCCCAGGCCCGGCCAGGTGGGCCAGCTCCACAGGGCCCTCGCCCCCTGCGGCGCCCAGGTTCCCAGGCGCAGCCCTGCCCGGCTCTCCAGGCTTCCTTAGGGCCCTCTTCCTCTCAGGCCTGGCCTCGCCAGCTCGGGCGGGTTTGGTGAAGACGACTCTTCCCTCCCCACAGCTGGAGGGATCCTGGTTGAAAGAGGGCATGTAGTCACTGGGGGCAGCCAGGCTCGGGGAGCCCAGGAAGGCCAGAGCGGCGGCCCGGTTGCTCTGCTCGCTGACCTCGGCCACGTTTTCCAGGCTGTACTTGGTCCAGCGCTCAGGGTGGGCCACGTAGTCAGGGACGGGGGGCAACTTCGGGGGGGCAGGGCTCTGACCAGCCCTGCCTGGGCCCTCTCCTGGAGGCTGGCTTGAGGGTGCCGGTGGCCGAAGGAAGCCCCCGTCGTCACCCGGGCCCGTCTGGGCCACAGAGGGCACAACCTGCCTGGCTGCGCCCTCCAGGCAATCAAAGATGTTGTGGCTACGCCGGGAGAAGGTGGAGCTCGTGCCCCTCAGGTGGAACGGCTGCACTGAGGCCGTGGGGAGGCCCCTCGGAGGCAAAGGAGACTCATCAGGGTCTGAGTCCCCCTGGGCCTCCCCAGGCAGCACCCCTGGGGACAGAGCTTCCATCTCAGCACCGGCAGGCAGGCTGAAATCGGAGTCTGAGTCGCTGAGAGAGACGGCGTCAGAAGGCAGAGCGTCATCCTCTGTCCCTCGCTCGGCTTCCGGGGCCTCTCCTGCCCCTGCCTGAGACATGTGTCCCAGGGCACACCACACCCAGACCAGACAGCCCAAGAAGTTCGTTTCTGAGGATCGCAGGCACTTAGGAGAGGTCCCTCCTGTAGACCCACTGTCCCTGGGCCGCGGCAGGACCCACAGGAAGAACTATGTCCTACAAGGCGAAGGACAGAGATGCCCGTCCCCTGAAAGCCCGCTCACCTCCGTTGTCTGACGGCTGTCTGTGCGGACGCTGGAGTGCTGGTGGGGGAAGTGCTGGCAAAGGCGTGCTGGCCTCGGTCCGGCTCCCGTCAGCTGCCCAGCGGCAGCGGGCTGAGGGCGGGAAGAGCCAACATTCAGATCAGACCGCAAAGGTGCCCAAGGGGTGGTCCCGGGCTTATGGAGCCCAGACAGAGGCCAGGCCCGAGAGCAGATCCTTGGTAAAGATCGCCTCGCTCAACACTCCCGGGTCACGTTTGGGGCCCGCCGGGGGGTGGGGCTGCGGTGGCAGGCAGGCAGCCAGGGCCTGGCCCCGGGTGAGCAGCAGCCTGCGCTGGGCGCCGCTACTCTCGAGCAGGTGGGCTGGCTCCCTAACCGCTCAGCACAGCGCGGGGCACGTCCCAGGTACTCCACGGAGACCGGGCCACCTGCTGGTGCAGGGCAAGGAGGTCCGCTCCTCACTGCTGGGAGAGGCCGGGGGCTCCGCAGGGGTCTGCAGCCGGGTCCCTGGCACCTGAGGGTCAAGCCCGCAGGGAGGCGGAGCAGAGGCAAGCCCTGCCGCTCTCGCAGCAGCCTCCAGCGGCACTGCCCCCGCAAGCCCGCACACACCTCGCCTTTCCCAGCAGGGCCCAGAAGTGCCACCCACACTCATGTAGTGGCCCAAGTGTGACCAGGCGGGCACCTCGCACCTGGCACTTCCGGGCTCAGAGGGCAGCCCGGCCTCCCCCGTCCACCCACCCAGCCCCCCTAGTCCAGGGCGACCCGCTGTGGTGCGTGCGCCCAGGGAGGCCCAGGCAGTGGGCCAGGAGCGGCCGAGAGCCCCCACCGCCGCTCGAACACCGACCAGACCTCCACTGCTCTGGGGCACGACCCCCCAAGTGAGGGAACAGCTCCAGGAGGGGACGGGCGCGCGAAACACACCCCCCAGCGCGTCCCAGGGCTGGCAGGCCGCAGAGGGAGCCAGCGTGCCGGTCACACGGCACGCCGCAGGGCACGCAGGCGCTCCAGCCAGACGCGCGCTCCTGCGGTCCCCACCGCCGCGCTCGCCACCGCGACTGAGACAAGCGGCCGGATCGGTGGGACTCTCCAGGGGCCGGAGGGACAGGGCCCCCCGACTCGGAGTCCGGGACGGTGTTTCCGGGAGTTCTCTCCGAACTTCGCGAGCTCGGCGGGCCAGGGGCGTGCAGCGGCCGGGAGCTCGGGGGCTGCGGCCCGGGCCCGGGGGCGGCACCACTGGCCTCCCTGCCGGCGCGCGCTGCCCCCCTTCGGAAGCGGAGCCGCGCGCTTTCTCCGCTCCGTCGGGGGCCTGGGCCGGACAGGGTCCAGGCTTCCCAAGGCTCGGGGTCCCAAGGCCCAGGCCGCGAGGGACCGGAGACACGAGGCACTCTGGGGGGGGCCTCCGGGCTTGGGCAAGGAGGCTGCGGACAGCGGCCTCCCAGAGACGCGACCGCGAGTCAGCGCCGCACTCCCTTACCACAAACCTACCGGATCGGCGCGCTCGGGCCGGCTCCATCTTGCGCCGCGCTCGGCCTCCCGGGAAACCGAGTCCTCCGCCGGCCCAGCGACGCGGCGTCCGCACCTGAAGAACTACATCTCCCACGAGGCACTGGGCCGCTACTCCCGAGGCCTGTCGAGTCGCGTAGCCCCTGCGCATGCGTCCTCACTTTTCTTCCGAGCCTCCCCTCCCCGGAAACGGCGTCTCTCCTTCTCGCAACGAGCCGGAATTGAGTAGGGAAAAGAGGGAGGAGGAAGAGGTAGCACTACGACTCCCAGAATGCTCGAGGGCTAACGGCCACCTCCGCGTTCCCGGTGCCCCAGCGCCACCTGCTGGAAGTCGCGAGCACAGCGGCCGCCCCGAACCGGAAGTGCATCCTCGCGCGCAGCGCCGTTGCCGGGTGCTTCCGGTCCGGCCGGAAGCGTGCGGCCGCGCCCTTCGTGGGTCGGGGGATCGGGGCGGGCT